GAACGCCGCGGCTCGCTGTGTTCCGGCTGCCAGAAGCCCATCACGGGACGCTGCATCACCGCCATGGCCAAGAAATTTCACCCAGAACACTTTGTCTGTGCCTTCTGCCTCAAGCAGCTCAACAAAGGAACCTTCAAGGAACAGAATGACAAGCCCTACTGTCAGAACTGCTTCCTCAAACTCTTCTGCTAGACTCATCCTAGCTGGGAACGGAGCATCTTTCTGCCACCTCACTAGGCAGCCGAGTCTCTCTGAGCATTACTGTGATTTAGAAACCTTGCCGGGGGAGGGGGGAGACGGGGAAGGGGGGTGCTAAGTGCTGCTCCAGAAAGACGAGCTGGACCATTAAACTGAAAATGCCCATGCTGTGTTTCAGTGGGGAGATGCTGAGCCCCATCATTAAAGTGTTGTATGATTGTTGACAGCCGAGAGGAGCCTGAAGTGCTAGCGAGGAGATGCCTTTCTCAAGGAGAGGGCTGGATAAAGCCTTGAGTCAGCTCTCCCTGAGCCAACATGTGACACTTCCAAGCAAAACGTCCTTGGCTTTGGTGACACTTCTCTCTCGCTGGGGCAGTTAAGTGCTGTGTGACCCAAGCAGTAGCTCTGCTGCTGCACAGCAAGGGCCATGCTCTGACCTCTGCATTGCCCGGGCTGTGCACGGTCGAGTCCTGGGGCACACGGGATTTACTACGATTACAGCAGCAGCCCCAGAAGCTGTAAAGACCCTGCAGTGGAGTCTTTCCAGTTCAGTAACACTGCAGGGAATTGATGCCGCTTATTTTTTAGAAAGGGGAAGTAGGGGGCTACTCTGTTTTTCTAGCTTGTGATTCTCTCCTGCTCCTGAATGGAGTGTCCCATTTTGTGCTGGACACCCCCAACTCCCCAGTAGTGGGTAGGGCAAATGCTCCTAATTCTGCTGCTCCTCGGAGAGGAGGAGGAGACTGGCACCAATTAATTTTAAAAGAAAATGCAGAGAAATTTGAGGGCCCAGCCCTCCCCTCTGAGCGAATGTGGCTTATGCTGTGTGTCTGGCCTGCATTTTACTAAGGGAAGGGCCTGAAAAGCCTCTCTAGGTTTTTTTAAAAAGCAAGGACAAAGTAAAGCTATAGACTTCGTATTCCTTGTTCATCTTCTTCTCTGCTCTTTGCTAATCAGGCCGGCAGTCCCTCTTCTTTGATACTGTCCTGTTCCTTGCTCTTGAGAAACACGTTCTACTGAGACTCTCTAGAGCAATAACCTTTGATATTGACTGTTACTGGTCTAACAAGTCCCCGAGGTCTGGTGTATCTGACCCTTGGAGTTTTGCTATGGAACTGAATACTGTATGCTTTGATAAAAACTGTAGATTTCTACACTGAGGTTTGAGTTCAGAACTAATTTACTTTTAATCCTCTTCTACAGAAATTGGTTTTGAAGTGATTTTAAGAAAGCTACTTTTATATCTCACACTGTGTTGTTCTAGGCAGGGTACCAGTTGTGCTGGTTACTGCATCTGTAACCTCAATGCTTGGGTCGAACAAACTATTAACATGAAGTATTTTCTTTTTATTGGGGGTTGGGAGGGCTCTGGGTTTTGCAGGGGAAGGGAATGTGACTGGTATTGTTTTCTAGCACAAGCAGGTGAGCTGTGAATAGCTCTTTTAATTATCTCAGATCACCTGGAAAGTTTATTTTGTAACCTGTAAACTGCTGTATTTGACTTACCTGCCTTTCTCCAAAGCCCGACTTCCAGGGTAACAAAAAGTGAGTCTTAATTCAGTGCCACATGATGCAGAGATGGAGAACCCAAAGTCCACCTTCATAGTTTTATTCCTCTTCAACCATCAGAAATGAGAGCAGAGGGTTAACTCGGGAAGGGGAGTTCTCCCCTTAGGTAGGAAGGATGGTCCTGGGACTGAAAAAAAGGGCTGGGAGTCAGGAGATCTGGAATCTGTGCTTGATTCTGCCACAGACTTGCCGTGTAACCTTAGGCCAGTCACTTAGCCATTCTGTGCCTCAGTTTCCCCATCTGCAAAATGGGGCAATATTCCCGCCTTGTAGGATTTTGAGGTTTAGTTCATATTTGTCAAAGGCACTTTCAGATCTTGAGAAGGAGGGTGATGTAGAAGGACAAAGGATTGTGTTAGAAACAACCCTACAGTGTTCTACACTAATGGTGAAAGTGGTGCAGTGAGAAGAGGGTTTTAAAATATGACTCTAGAAGATTCTAGATCTTTGGTTATTAGGGCATGGCACATTGGGGTGGCTACAAAATGCTCAAAATGGAAAAGGCATAGGGAGTTCTGGGATTAACTGTGTAAGAAACAAACCCTCACTTTAACAGAGGGATCCTAGCTTACTATTTTAAATAACCTTAGCTCGATGCTTCACTACCTCCCTTGAATAAGTGGAACTGTTTTTCACTGGTTTCCCATACAAATGAGCCTCAGTCTGTGGTTGTGAAAGCAGGGTTTTGGGGAACAAGTGGTAAAACAAAAAGCTACTCCAACTGGGCAGAGCACAGCTTTTGGGAGGTTCCCAAGGCAAGAAACTGTCTAAATGGTCATTTTGGAGTTAAAATTGGGATTTCTGAGCTTCCTGCTGAAGCTGACACTTGTTCTGACCCCGCTGGTTGGGAGAACGGTCCTGTGTCCAGTGCACAGGACTGGGAGTGTCTCTGCCACTGCATTTTTGTGTGATACTGAGGGAGTTTATAACCTTCTGTGCCTCAGTTTCCTTATCTGTAAAATGGGGATAATACTTAACCTACCTCACTGGGGTGTTGAGGCTTAATTCACGGATATTTCTGAAGGGCTTTGAGACCCTTGGAGGGAAGGTGCTGTAAAAGGGGAAAATCTTGTTACAGTATCCCAGTGTCAGAGCAAAACCGTTTCATCCCCTTTTAATAATGGTTTAGTAGTCTCCATGACCAGTACTGCCTTAGCAAAATGTTGAGAGTTTTCCTGATCAATTGGGATTTAAACTGGTTTGGGGATGGGTCCTATGCTCATTGCTGCCTCCAAATGTTACTTTCCCTCAAGATGGCTGCTGCCAGTAGGAGGGTCAGAAATACCCATTTTAAATGTCCTAAGTTCAAGTACAGTTTAGACTGGAACATTTGAAATGCTGTACAGAGCAAACTGGGGAAAGGGATGTGTTAAGATTGCCCTGGGTGATTAGCAAGCATACTTCACAGATACTGATGGTGCTAAAGTGCAGACCAGCAAGTTGTACTACTGCACTGTTGCAGGTAGTGGGACGTGTCCCAAGGAGTGGTTGGGGAGAGGGGTTAGGCGAGAATGTGCTTTTGGAAGGCTGAGATGGGTAATTCAGGCTTAAACTGGACACAGGAGGCAGGTGTGTACAGTACACAACCACTGAGGAGCTACAAGACTGCATGCAGAGGCCGGGCAGCTGCCCATTCAGAGGCAAGTTAAGCTCTAGATACGCCCCTGTTTCTTTGAAAGGTTTTGTGTTAG